ATTTTTTTTACTATTTCCTTTAGGTGTAAGGTTAAATTGTATATTTGAGATTTTTCTTATAGATTTTGTGTCATTGTGTTTTTGTGGGAGGGGTAGGAGAGTTGTTGTTCTTTTGTTAATCCTCACCAAAGGATATTTTTCCCATTGCTTTTTTTTTAATTTCTTTATTGGTTAAAGTATTACAAATGTGTCTTCATTTCCCATTAACCCCCACCCACTGCTTTTTAAAGAGAGTGAAAGGAGGGAGGGAGGAGGGGGAAGAGAGAGAAACATCAATGTGAGAGACACGCATCGATTGGTTGTCTCCCAAATATGCCCTGACCAGAACAGGGATGAACCTGCACCGGGGAGTTACCAGTAAACCAGATCCCAGCACATAAGCGGCTGGGAGAGGGATTTTCTTTCATTCATTCTCTTCCTTCTGAATATCAAAGCCTTGATCATTCCTAAATTCCTTTGTTAGTATTATTTCTCTGGTGTTTCATCATTTAAAGTCCCTCATGAATCAATCACATGATTCCTTTATTGTACCTTTATTGCTCTAATTGTTGTACCTTTATTGCTCTAATTGTTGTTGTTACTATTTGATCACGGCAGCTATCCTATCCCAACACCCTGCCCCCACCTTCTGAGGCCTAAGGTATTTGTTTTTGTTTGTTAGTTAGTTTGTTTGTTTGTTTGTTTGTTTGTTTTGGGGGGGAGAGAATTGACATCTTTATTATGTTGAATATTACAATCCATGAGCACAGTGTGCCTCTCTACCTTTTTTAAAAATTCTTTTAAATACATTTTATTTTTTATTTTTACAATATACAAAATAAATCTATTACCAGATTGTACATACAAGGTAATTATCCATTTATATGCAATTAAAATTTCAAGAAAAACGGTAAGAGAGTTTTTAAGGACTGCAGCATGGGGTCAAGACTGGCTGCCTGACTCAGAGGAGCCTCCAGCAGGGTGGGGTGGAGTCTCCAGGACTCATCCAGGTGGGGCCAGTGATATTCACCAGGCCAATGCAGATTCAGATTTAGCCATGTGGGGGAAGGGCTCAACACAGAAAAGACTGTGCCTCCTTGGCAGCTGTATGGAAGGATTCAGCACTAGGACAATGGCAGCTGCCCCTCCACCCCTCACCCTGAAGCCACACAACTCAGTTTCTCCCTAGATGTGTGCCCCCTGCACCGCTCTCCCTCTGCCCAGAGCCCAGCGTGAGTGCCTGCAAACATGTGTGCAGACCCTTTAAAGAGGACACCTGGGTTTCCAACAGCCTTTCATCTCACCTGGATGGACAGAATCCCTACTGATTTTCACATCTACGAGTTGTGAGGGCTCCTTTCCCAGCACTGGTACTCTGGGCTTGGGAGCCCAGTGTGGGGCTGGGACTCCTCACTTTTAAGAAGGAACCTCTGCAGCTAAGATATCTCTCTCAATGCTCAACTGGTGCACTTGACAACTGAGCCAGCTCGTCTCTGCCCCCTTACTAGTCTCTATGTAGCTTCTTCTTTATATCCTTAGTTATAGGACCTCTCTACAGCTAGTCTTCCAATGGTTCTCCAAGTTGATTGTTCTATAATTTAGAAAATGTTTTGATGTGGTCATGGGAGTAGATGAGCACAGTGTTACCAACCTTGTCATTTTGACCAGAACTCAGTACCATACTGTTGTGTGTGTTTTTGTCTGTTTGTGCGGTGTTGGTTTTTTTGTTGTTGTTAGAATATATTTGTATTGATTTCAGGGAGGAAGGGAGAGGGACAGAGAGATAGAAACATCAATGATGAGAGAGAATCATTGATCGGCTGCCTCCTGCACACCCCCACTAGAGATCAAGCCTGCAAACCAGGCATGTGCTCTTGACCGGAATCAAGCCTGGGACCCTTCTGTCTGCAGGCCAGTGCTCTATCTATCCACTGAGCCAAACCGGCTAGGGCATACTGTTTTGATTACTGTAGGTTAACAGTAAGTTTGAAAGCAGGAAGTGTGAGTTCTCCAGATTTGTTTTTTATTTTTAAGACTAGAGGCCCGGTGCACAAAAATTTGTGCACTCGACGGGGGTCCCTCAGCCCGGCCTGTGCCCTCTCACAGTCTGGGACCCCTCGGGAGATAACGACCTGCTGGCGTAGGCCTGCTCCCAGGTGGCAGAGGGCAGGCCCAATCCCTAGGTGCAGCCCCTGGTTGGGCTCAGAGCAGGGCCAATTGGGGAGTTGGGGCGCCCCCCCTGTCATGCACAGAGCAGGGCAGATTGGGAGGTTGCGATGCCACCCTCAGTCACGCTAAGGGTAGGGCCGATTGGGGGATTGGGGCACCGCCCCCATCACACTCAAGGCAGAGTTGATGGGGAGGTTGTGGCGCCACCCCCTGTCACGCACAGAGCAGGGCCCATCAGGGGGTTGGGGAGCTCCCCCCTGTCATGCACAGAGCAGGGCCCATCAGGGGGTTGGGGAGCTCGCCCCTGTCACGCACAGAGTAGGGCCGATAGGGGAGTTGGCACACCGCCCCCTGTCACACACAGAGCAGGGCGGATCAGGGGGTTGGGGCGCCGCCCTCTATCACCCACAGAGCAGGGCCGATCAGGGGGTTGGGGCGCCGCCACTGTCACACTCAGGGCAGGGCCGATGGGGAGGTTATGACTCTACCCCGTCACACACAGAGCAGGGCCTGTGGAGGGGGGGGGGGTTCGGGCGCCACCCTCTATCACCCACAGAGCAGGGCCAATCAGGGGGTTGGGGCGCCTTCCCCTGTCACGAACAGAGCAGGGCGGATAGGGAGGTTGTGGCCCCGCCCCCTGTCACACACAGAGCCGCAGGGTGATCAGGGGGTTTGGGCGCTGCCCCCTGTCACGCTGATCCCGGTGCCAGGAGGCCTCTCAGGTCCGCTGATCCTGGTGCTGGGAGGCATATTACCCTTTTACTATATAGAATAGAGGCCTGGTGCACAGGTGGGGGCCGGCTGGTTTGCCCTGAAGGGTGTCCTGGATCAGGGTGGGGGTCCCCACTGGGGTGCCTGGCCAGTCTGGGTGAGGAGCTGAGGGCTGTTTTCAGGCTGCAACTGAAGCTCCCAACTGCTCCTTTTTTTCTTTTTTTCTTTTTATTCTGGGCCAGCTTTAGCTCTGAGGCTCCAGCTCTTAGGCCTCCGCTCCTGAAAGCAGGTATCTGGTTTGTTTAGGTTCTACAATCGAAACTCTGTATCAACTCCAGGTCTGAGATCCCGGCTAGCTGAAAGCTGGTTTCTGGGGTTTTGTTTAGCTTCTATTTTTGTAACTATGTTTCAAACTGCCAGCTCAGAGGCCTGCAGCGGCAGGTGGGGAACGTTGGAGTCCTCTGTCACTGAAGCAAGCAAGCCTCATGTTAGTTTCAAGCTGCCTGGCTGCTGGCCGCCATCTTGGCTGACAGTTAATTTGCATATTGCCCTGATTAGCCAGTGGGAAGGGTAGCGGTCGTACGCCAATTACCATGTTTCTCTTTTATTAGTGTAGATAGTTTTGAGTATTTGAGGCAATGCCCTATGAATTTTTAATGAGCTTTTGAATATCTGTAAAAATAAGTAAGTAAAATGATGTTACACTATTGATATGGATTGCATTGAATCTGTAGATCATTTTGGGGACCATTGCTATCTTAACAATATTAAGTCTTCCAATCCATTAATATGGAATGTCTTTCCATTTGTTTAGGTTTTTTAATTTTTTTCAAAATTATTTGTACTTTTCTGTGTACATATTTTGAACTTCCTTATATAAAACTAGAGGCCTAGTGCATGAAATTTGTGCACTTGGTGGGGGGTGTCCCTCAGCCCAGCCTGTGCCTTCTCACAGTCCAGGAGCCCTCTGGGGGTGTCCGACATCCTTAGCACTACTGCGTTGGCCTCTCCCGCCACTGCCACTGCACTCTCCAGCTTGAGCCCAGCTTCTGCATTGAGCGTCTGCCCCATGGTGGTCAGTACACATCATAGCGACCAGTTGTTCTGCTGTTCAGTCGATTTGCATATTAGCCTTTTATTATATAGGATTATTCCTAATACCTTGTTGAATAATTTTGCATTTATGTAAATTAGATATTGGTCTGCAGTTTTATTTTCTTGTGATGTCTTTATCTTATTTTGTTTTCAGGATGATGGTGGCCTCATAGAATTATTTACATAATCTTCCTTCCTATTCTATTTTATGGAGAATTTTACAAAGAATTAAGGTGAATTTTTCTATAAATGGCTGGTAGACTTTACCAATGAAGCCATAAGTTATAGGCTTTTTACTTGGGGAAGCTTTAATTAATGGTTCAACCTATTTAACTGTTATAGGTATGTCCCAATTTTCTATATCTTATTAATTCCATTTGGATAGTTTGTATGTCTCTAGGAATTTTTTCATTTCATCCAGGTTATCTAACTTGTTGAATAATTGTTCATGATCTTCTCTTATAATCCTTTGTAAATCCACATGATATATATGCCATTATTATGTACACTAAATATTATGTGTTATAGTATTATCATGTTTACTAAATAATAACATTATACATAAACTAGAGGTCTGGTGCACAGATTTGTGCACAGGTGGGGTCCCTCAGTGTGGCCTGCAGCTCCTGCCTGTGGCTCCTGCTCATCCCAGCCCCACTGCACCAGCTGCGGGCTTCGGCCCAGTCAGTTCCAATCAGGCAGTCCCAATCAGGAGAGGCTTGTGCCACCACAGCGGTGAGCCCTGTGTCTGGTGCCCATCAGTCAGCTGAGCTGCCACTCCCGTTGTGGGAGCACACTGACCTGCATTGAGTGTCTGCCCCCTGGTTGTCAGTGCACGTCATAGTGACCAATCAACCAGTCATTCGGTCATCTGGTTGTCTGGTAGTTTAGACTTTCATATATATAGATAATATATATTATGTAATATATAAATATATAATACATTTATATAATATATTAATTATATATAACAGGGTATTATAGCAATCATTGCAGGTTCAATTACTAATCTAACAACCCCACAATGTAACTCCCACAATTCATAGAACTGTCTCTGAAGATAAAGAAGCAAGGAGACAGGAAGGCCACCTTGAGTGTTAATCAGGCAAAGATGGTGCTGGACTGGGATACAGTACAGGAATCTGGTGACTCAGGTAAGGCTGAGATGGGGAGAAGTTCACTGAGGTTTCACAGCGGGACAAGATACCCAAGGGTGGGACAAATGGAGAATTAAAGTTTAAAGGAAAGTGTGGGCTATTGTGGGGGCCACAAGAAAAGAGTCTACCAAAAGAAGGGGTCCTGTGGGCACCACAAGATGTCAACCATGGTCTTTTCCTACAGGTCCGTCTACAGTGGGCCTTTTCTCCACACCAGGAATGGGCAAGTTTATGGCAAAAGCCCCCCTAGTTCTAGAAACTGAGGAGCAGTCAGTTCTGAATGAGACACACAAGGGCATGTTGCAGGAAGTCTCCCCTGTCCTGCTCTCAGATGTCATCTCCGTCTTTGTGAGCAATAATAACACCCAGAACCTAAGCTCCCCAGTCACCTTCATCTTCAAGCATGTGAGTCCTGGGGGGGGGGGGCTATAGATATAAAATGAGCCTGATTTCTGGGAATAGACTTCAGGTTCTGGGGGCTTTCCCATGGGTGCATCATCTCCCCAGGAGAGCCCATCACAAGCAGGATTTGGGTCAGCATTTCTGAGCACCAGAAACACCAGCTCACACCTTGCCCTGTTCCTACAGTCAGTGACCCCGAGGCCAAAGCAGAAGGTGTTCTGTGTCTTCTGGGAGCCTGGCCAGAATGGAAGTGGTCATTGGTCCACCAAAGGCTGCTGGAGGGTGGGTACTATAGACACCAGCACCACCTGCCAATGCAGCCACCTCAGCAGCTTTGCCGTCCTCATGGCCCACTATGATGTGCAGGTGAGAGCCCTAAAAGGGGATGAATTTAATATCCATTGCTATGTAATAAATTCCCACAAATGTAGTGTCTTTAAAAAGACACACATGGGTTCATTATCCTGCAGAATCCTCAGGTCAACAATCTGGCACAGCATACCCGGGTTGTCTACTCAGAGTCTCACAAGACTAAAATGATCAGGTCAGCCACGCCTGTAATCTCATCAGAGTTGTGCAGTTCTCTAAGCTCCCTGGTTGCTGGCAGAATTCAGTTCCTTGCAGTGTAGGACTGATTTCTCACTTTCTTACCTGCTAGCAGTAGAGGAGCACACTCAGCTCTTGGGCCGTGATGGGGAACCTTTTGAGCTCAGCGTGTCAGCATTTTGAAAAACCCTAACTTAACTCTGGTGCCATGTCACATATAGAAATTTTTTGTTATTTGCAACCATAGTAAAACAAAGATTTATATTTTTGATATTTATCTTATATATTTAAATGCCATTTAACAAAGAAATATCAACCAAAAAAATGAGTTCACATGTCACCTCTGACACGCGTGTCATAGGTTCGCCATCACTGTCCTAGGGGCTCCCTGCATTCTCTCTTGTGTACCCCTCCCAAGACCACTCACAGGGTATCGGTATTGCTCACTGGAAGCCAGCAGGAGAATTGCCCTCACATTAAAGCACCCTCAAACTTTAATCAAGTAAGGGCTCATTTGATTAGGTCTGGCCCACACATGATAAATCCCTCTCTTTTAAGTTGATTGATTGTGGACCTGCAAAATGCCTTCACAGGAGCACCTAGATGGCATTTGACTGAAAACCTGGAGGCATTTATATGTACACATGCTGGTGGGGTTATGATTGCCAAATTAAAATTCTGCCACCATGGGGATTTTTCAGGACAGGGGTTATCAGGGGCTTCAGAAAGGAAGATTTGGTGATGACAAAGTTCAGAGGTACCGGGGGATCCAGTGAGTACAGGTGAGTCAGTAGCCATGTGTGCCTCCTCTCCTGTCCCGTTGACCTGGTTACTGCTCTGGTTCACCAAAACCAGAAACTTGCTCAGGTAACTTCAGGTAATGGGGCATTGACTGAAATAAATGTGGCACCCACATGAAAAGGATAATAGCCAAGTGGCCAGGTCTCATAGAAGCCTCCAGAAGTGTGAACAACACTCCAAGACCATGTTTCCTCCGGCCACGTTGCTAGGTCTCACGATATTCATACTTTTATTTACATACTGTTCTACATTTATTGAAGACTTAAAATATTTACATTTCAAATTCAAACAGAATGAGAGAGAACCCAGACACTTAGTTCCTCTTGCCGCAACCAGTTAAAGTTGTTAGTTTCTCCTGCATTTTTCTTTGAATGTTTTATACATATAGGGTCAGGCAAAAGTAGGTCTACAGTTGTTTGTATGGAAAATAATACAATAGTTAGCAAAGAACAGTACAAGAATAAACTCTGTTTTTCACATACTCACAACTGTAAACCTAATTTTGCCTCACCCTGTATTAAAATAATGCATGTATTGATTCTTTGGTTTTTCTCTTCTCAAAGACTTGGTGGAGTGTGTGTGTGTTTTTCACTGTTGTGCAAATTGTGTTTTATTTATTGCATCTAAGAGAATTTTCTATTCCAGCCTACAAAGAGACACTTCATTATTTTTATTGCCACAAAGCATTTCATTTTGTGAATGCTTTGTAAATTACACATCAAGACCCCCTCTTGGGGTTTCCTTTTGATCATTTGCTAATAAATAATGTTGCAATTGTTTACACACACTTCCTTCTTCTCACATGATCATCTATAAGCTTAGTCATGCCCAAAAGTCTAAAGGAAAATAAACCCTATGCCTGGCCCGTGTGGCTCAGTTGTTTGGGCGTTGTCCAGTGCACCAAAAGGTTGCTGGTTGAATTCCCAATCAGGGCACATGCCTGGGATGCAGGCTCTATTTCCATGGGGTTGTGCAAGAGGCAACTGATGTTTCCTCTCATATCAATGTTTCTCTCTTTATCACCCACTCCCTTCCTCTCTCTCTAAAAATCAATAAATATACTTTATTTTTATGTTTTTATTGATTTCAGAGAGGAAAGAAGAGGGAGATAGAAACATCAATGATGAGAGAGAATCATCAGTCACCTGCCTCCTGCACACCTCCCTACTGGGGATTGAGCCCACAACCCAGACATGTGCCCTGACCGGGAATCGAACTGTGACCTCCTGGTTCATGGGTCAACACTCAACCACTGAGCCACACCAGCTAGGAAATTTTTCTTCAATGACATTCTTTTTTTGTTGTTGTTAATCCTCACCTGAAGCTATTTTTCCATTTTAAGAGAGGGTGGAAGGGAGAGAGAGACAGAGAGAGAGAAAGAAACATCTATGTGAGAGAGACACATTGACTGGCTGCCTTTGCACACCCGACCAGGGGTAGGAATCGAGCCTGCAACTGAGGTATGTGCCCTTGACCAGAATCAAACCTGGGACCCTTCAGTCCATAGGCCAATGCTCTTTCCACTGAGCCAAACTGACTAGGGCAAAAATATTTTAAAATAAATCAACTCTTTGAATTCCAGGACTTGATCTTGAGTAAGGTCTCTTCTATCCCTCAATTCTTCCAGGGTCTGAATTAATCCATTTAGAACCCATTAACTCTAGATTACCCACCAAAATCACAAATTTAGGTGGCTCCTCCATTCCTGATTTTGTTACACTGAAAAATAAAACTAAATATGGTGGAAGAGTCATTAACTCAGCCCAGGAAAGTATAACTGATATCTCCTCTTTGCTGGGTTCCAGGATGATGATCCCGCCCTGGCTGTGATCACCTACCTGGGGCTGAGCCTCTCTCTGCTGTGCCTCCTTCTGGCGGCCCTCACCTTCCGGCTGTGCAAAGCCATCCAGAACACCAGCACCTCACTCCACCTGCATCTCTCGCTCTGCCTCTTCCTGGCCCACCTGCTCTTCCTCACGGCCATCGACAGAACTGAAAACAAGGTACTGACACTGTCTCAAAGGACATCTGTCCTCCCTGTGGGATGTGGAGTTCATGGCGCCATGCTGCATTGAACATCTTAATATAATGGCCTTGTGTTTTAGGAATGTCACAGGGGTGAGTAGCCAATTTCACAATGACTGACCCAACTAGAAGACACCCCCTTTTTTGACATTTCCTTCATATACATCAGAGTTCCCCCAAAAAGTATAGGAGAGGTCCCGGGTCCATGCTCTACCCTGACAATCCCACCTGGTAACTCACTCCTCCCCAGGTGCTGTGCTCCATCATCGCGGGTGCCTTACACTATCTCTACCTGGCCTCCTTCACCTGGATGCTGCTGGAGGGCCTGCACCTCTTCCTCACCGCGCGCAACCTGACGGTGGTCAACTACTCCAGTGTGAGCAGGTTCATTAAGAAGTTCATGCTCCCTGTGGGCTATGGAGCCCCAGCTGTGATTGTGGCCATTTCTGCAGCTTCCAGGCCTCACCTTTATGGAACACCTACCCGGTAAATTAAAGTTCCCACTGTCCTCATCTTCTCCACATGGTCAGCAGAGAGCCAATGTAGCACTTCAATTTCACTAGAATATGATAGGTATAGGAAAACAGTAATAATGACCCAAAGACATATTCCTGGTTCCATGATTATATTCCTTGAAGCAACTGTTATTAGGAACTTAAAATTTCATTGTTTCAAATGTTAATTATATAGTATGTTAATAATTATATGTTTATATAATATTACTTGTGCATTACATTCATTACCTATACTTTTATAATAAAGAAACATTAACAATCATAAATTAATACATGGTTAAAATAAATAAGCTGATTTTTATTTTTCAATTTAATTATTTTAAATATTAATTATAATTATATTAAAGACTATGTTACATTTAAAACTATTGTACATAAATTTAATCAGTAAATGTATATTAATATAATACTCATTGCATTAATTGAGGAGACTGTTTTAAATATTCTAGGAAGCAAAATGAAAATGAAGGGATGGCATTGGTTGGTGTAACCTACTTCTCTCCTTAATTAAAAAAAAAAGAGGGAGAGAAAAAAATGGGGAGGGAAGATTATTTAGATGATGAAATTGTGATGACTAGAGCTAAGATTTAGAAGTCATTTTGGACATGAAATCTATATTCCAAATATTTTTCATGTATCAGCTCAAGTCATCCTCCCAACAACCCGCTGAGGTAGAATGGTATTATATGAGTTTTGCAGGTGAGGAAATTGAGGTACAGAGATTTCTGACATGGTCCAAATCACACAGATGGTTGGTGGCAGAACTGGGATCAAATAGAGACCATCTGGCATTTACAACATACTCCTATGTTGAAATAATTAATGTTCACCAACATCGGAGTAGCCCTGGTCAGATGGCCTTCCTATATAGCTTGCATAAAAGTCAGCAAACTGTAAAGGGCTGCAACTTTGCTGACCATGTACTCTCTGTTTCAACGACTCACCTCTGTCCTTGTAGCACAAGAGCTGCCATAGACAATATGCAAGAGAATGAGTGCAATTTTGTTCCCGTAAAGCACATTCACAAAATCAAGTGGCGACCCCATTTGACCCACAGGGTGTAGTTTACCAGCATTGTCTTAGTAGTGTTGGCTTTGAGTCTTCTGGTGGGTCCAGCTAATTTCATGGTACTCACACCTCCCAACTCATTCACAAGTATCTCACATGGGGTCATTTCCAGTTCTATCATTTCTATGAGTGTGGCCTTGATGTGCTATGTTTCCTTAAGCATTAGATGCCAACCTGTGGTCACTGGAGTCTCAGTGTTGTCATGAGGAATAAATTATGTAATGCACATGAGCCCTACCTTAGTATTATTATCAGGTTACTGTCATCATCTTTTTTTACTATCATCTTGCATGTCCCCAATTTTTTCACCTTCTATACACCTGCTCATCCATTCATATCTCGGAATAAACACAATCAGGTCCCTCAGGGGACCCTTCCCAACTACCTGAATCTCCTATACCACCGATTAGGCAAGCTGTCTACTATGTGTTCTCATAGCTCCTCACACTTGACCATAAAACTCATCATCTTGATTGTTTCTATTGTCTAACTCAGGGGTCCTCAAACTACGGCCCGCGGGCCACATGCAACTACAAATATTGTATTTGTTCCCGTTTTGTTTTTTTACTTCAAAATAAGATATGTGCAGTGTGCATAGGAATTTGTTCACAGTTTTTTTTTTAAACTATAGTCCGGCCCTCCAACGGTCTGAGGGACAGTGAACTGGCCCCCTGTTTAAAAAGTTTGAGGACCCCTGGTCTAATTAGTAACCTTCCCTGAGGACTGAGACCAGACTGCCTCCATTGCAGTTGGGTCTCAGGTCAAGCAGAGGTCCTGACACAGAGGCAACACAATATTTGTCCAATAAACCATAACTTCATTTACTTATTGATATTTATCTTTTCATTTAAAAATGTATATTTTCTTCTGCCAGCATACCTGACAGACATTTTAAAATAAATTTATCTTTTCAAAAACATTATTATGGCATGATTGATTTATACAATGCTCTACATAGTGAAGCTATGTAACCTGATGAGTTTGAATTTAAGTATAGAACCAGGTCCAGCACCACCATCAAGGGCATACACAAAGTTTCAGTTGTGAAAGAATAATAAGATAAGATCTATTAGAGTATAGGGAATAATTAACAATATTGTATTGTATACTTAAAACTTAGTAAGAGGATAGATCTAAGCTTAAAGGTTCTTATCAAAAAGAAACAATATTAGCAATAGGAGGAAGAAGAAACTATGAGTGGTGAAGGATCTGTCTACCAAGTCTTTATCCACAAAGGCAAATAGATTCTTCAGTCTCTTTCCATCTCTCTTTTAGATGCTGGCTCAGCACACAAAAGGGATTTATATGGACCTTCCTTGGCCCCGTCTGCATCATCTTCTCTGTGAGTAAAGGATGACATGAGAGCATGCTTCCTGCTCAGCTGAGGGTCTATCGAAGAGCAGGTGTATAAGGAGGGTTACAGGCAGGATGAGAAATCCTTAAAGTTTGCCCAGGACTGAGGAGGCTTACAAGAGGCAAAATTTCTCTTTTAAAACCAGGATAAAGGGATTTCCTCTCACTTTCAGTGCTTAAATGTGGAGATTGCCGTGAAAACTGGGACAAGTTGATCACCCCAGTTACAGGACAAGCATAAGCCTGTGTTACTAGATGGTCCCTTTTTCTATGACTACTATGAAATATAAACGTGTCTTACCTGCTGAGTTAGGTGTTGGATGAGCCAGGAGGAAGGTGTACAGATGGAATATATTCAATATGCCTTATGGGGTTTCTGCAGATTAACTTGGCTTTCTTTCTGATGACCTTCTGGATTCTGAAAACCAAGCTCTCCTCACTCAACAGGGATGTGTCCACCCTCCAGAACACGAGGTGAGAGGGGTAGAGGTGCACACCGCCTCATACAAAGCATGGTCCAGGAGCAATACCCTATGGTACCAAGCTCCTGGTGTCCTTTCACAGGGATTCTGAAGGGTCAGGAGAGAGGTGCAGCCACCCTCTCTGGAAACCAGCTCAGGTAGTGTGGTTTGCTGCTGAAACCCAAGTCAAAAATATTTTGTTTCTCCTAACTCCAGCATGAATTTATCTCAGCTACAGAGAAAATTGACTTTGTTCTCTTAAACATGAATTACTTCCATGGTCCTATGAAAAAGGTCTCAGAACATTTTTATCTTTATAGAACACTTAGGAAGTCACATAACTGTTCCCAGAACCCAGCAGGCCCATTCATGCCCACACCGTCATGGATGCTCTTCCCTTTGCCCTCTCCACTCCTACACCTGGAGAAAATCAGGTTCTTTCTCCACATATCACATCTTGTGAAAGGCTAGGGGCATCCTTTGCTTTCCTGAACTTAGCACAGAATGAATGGCCTCTATTCTAGGCAAATCATGCTCACTCTCAGTTCATGGAGAGTGAAAAAACAGGAATAGTGTTGGATGGGACCTGGGCCGAAGTACCTCACACATAATAAATATTATGTGACTGTTTGTTCTCATCTTTCCATGAGACTATAAGGTTTGTGAAAACAGAAATTATCTTTGTTATTTTTAATACCCAAGACCCAGCACGGAGAATCAGGTACACAGAACGTCCCCAGTAATGCCAGCTGAAGGAAATTAGGGACATTCATGAAACATCATGGTCTTTTTGAAACCCACATTATGAATTATCACTACAGCGGAACCTCGGTTCTTGAACTTAATTCATTCTGAAAGGCTGTTCGAGAAGCGGTGTTGGAAAACAAAGTCGTTTTTTCCCATTAGAAATAATGTAAACTAATGTAAATAATGTAAATTTGTTCCAGACCCCCCCAAATTGTTCCGTTTTAACCTTTCCTGTATACAGTACATGTCTAATGTACTGTTTAATCTACAAACACTTCTTTTCTTAAATTTATCGAACCACTCCCTGCTAGCCTTAAACTAATCACTTTCAGCACTTGTTCAAGGGTATCTTTCCAGAGGTCAGTATGCAGCATCTTCACTTTTTCACATTTCATTGCCTCTGAAATGCTGTCACTGGCTAACTGCTTTTCATTTATCCAACTCAATAACAATTTTTCTGCCTCTTCAATTGCCTTTATTGTTTCATGAGCACTTTCACACCCTTACCAACATCACCACTCTTGATGGCCTCTTCATGTTTTAAAAGTGTTTAAGTCATCCATTTCACCAACAACAAAAGTAAATAAATAAATAAATAAATAAATAAATAAATAAATAAATAAAAAAATATTCACAGCACAATTTCCTGAGATGTTAACAAGGCAAGGTTTAGCTGTAAACCGACTCGTATTGGCACGTTTTCTCCTTTGTTTGTGGCCTGAGAGACACTTTTTGTCATAATCATGTATCAGCATGAAAATGGTTATTAGGTCAAGAACTGAAGTTAGCCAAGACATTTTTTCCATTAACAACTTGGTTGAGGACCAAATTGTTCGAGATGGGAGATGTTCAAGAACTGAAGTTTGTACTTCACTCAAAGTCAAAATGACATGATAAACTCTGATAGCATTTCTGTTCAGAGGATCATTGAGAGTAGTTATCAAAGTTGGTCACAACTCAGTCATGCATCCCTGGGGTAGAGATGAGGGTGACCTTGATTCTGTTGTTCTGGATGCACCACGGACCTCTCTTTTCCTTCTACCCAGGATGTTGACATTTAAAGCGACAGCTCAGCTCTTCATCTTGGGTTGCACATGGTGTCTGGGAATCTTGCAGGTGGGTCCAGCTGCTCACGCCATGGCCTATCTCTTCACCATCATCAACAGCCTGCAGGGCGTCTTCATCTTCCTGGTGTACTGTCTCCTCAGCCAGCAGGTACTACTGTCCGGCTTCCACCCAGGATTTTCCACTCTCACCCCTCTCAGTGAGCTGACTCAGAGCATGCTTTGCTTCTGTAGGTCCAGGAGCAATACAGGAAATGGTTGAAAGGGATCAAGGAAACCAAAGCCATCTCTGAGAAGTACACACTCTCCAGCAGGGCTACGTCTGAAGTCTCCAAACACAATGTGGTAAGATCACATATTGCTCCCAGAGCACTTCACTAGCTGATCCACTTTAGTAGCTCATGCCCATCACACTGGACAACCTGACATATAGCCAGTGATGCCCTAGGATGGCTCCCACTGAGTTTACTTGTGGACCCACCCCAAGGCATTTCCATGTCAACAATGGAGGTCTTCCTCCATTCCACTCGCTGTGTTGATGTACTCACCTTGACCCTTGCCCATGATTACCTTCTCACATGTGTAGAGCACTCACTTTGTGAGACATGGTGCATGTGGTTTTTAATTTTACTTAGTGAGAAGATAGAAAACATTTCCTCATAAGCAGAGAGAGAGGCTACGGTTGGTCAGCTCAACAAGCAGAAACTAATGATCTGAAGCTGTGATGCTCAAACCGCATAGTCACAGCACCATCCTTTATCCCAACTCATTCCATGCTACCCTGTATATAAAGGACAATAAATACATGGCATATATAGTCATAAAAGTTAGTAAAATAAGCGTTAGGTTGGGTTTGAGACTTTACTTAAGAATTTACGATTGTTCCTGGAATTTTCAACACATACAAATAATGCAAAGCCAGGAAGGAGATTCACAAAGGGCTGAGGCGGGATCCCAACAATAGCAATGAACATATGTATATTCTGGTTTATAAAATCTTGTCTCGTGAGTTTTGTTCACATGTTCTTCACATCAGCTCTTGAAGGTAAGTATTATTATGTTCCCATTTGGTAGGTAAAGAAAATGAGACTCATAGGTTCTATATGAATTGTGCAAGGTTTTCAGACAATTCACTTTTTCTCCCAACTTCCATGGACCCACCATGCTGCTTGCTAAGCATTATGCATATTTATCATCCACTTGTTTGTCCAACCCTCTACAACTAAGCCTTCCAAATTCTCCATTCATCAAGAATATCATTCTTCTAATTCTTTCCTTTCCAGCAGGTGTTTCTACCAGTTTCTTTCATAGCAAATCAAGTAAGCAGGATGAAATAAGGTCAACTTTGTGCTCTCAAAAACACAAGGCATTGGACATCTGGTTCATTTTCTCCTCATCCCATCAAATGTGCTTCTGACTTTTTTAAGGCTAGTCCTTCTATTGCATTTTGGTTCCCAACACTCTTGACTGCTCCATAACTTTACATTACTGTTCATGCATTCTCTCTCTGAACCTTGCACTGTCTCACCTACTCAACAGCATCATTGCAACCACCTTCATTGCAACATGCTAAATCTCTGTCTTACTAAAAATTATTAAAGTTATACATTTAATCCCTCCCTCTTCTTCCTCAAACACTCAAAAACTGGTATGTGCCTCCGTCATTCCACCAAACAGCTCTCTCTTAAGCCTCTAATGACCTTCATATCACTGGATGAAATAAATATTTGTTGGTCCTCTTAGTACTATCGGGTGTTGTGGTTACTGCCTCCATCATGAAACTTCTCTTTTGTTCCTGGTTCCTAGATCTCAACATCCCTGGCATTCTTCCTAACTTTCTGGCTGAACTGTCTTCATCTTCTTTAGATTTCATTTACTCTACCCAGCTTTGTCCTAGAAACACTCCCATTTTTTATACATATATATATGGCTAATATGCAGTGTCCCCTCACAAGTTCGACAGGGAGACTGGGAGTTCGATCACTCGCTATGACGTGTGCTGACCATTAGGCATTAGGGGGCAGCACAGAACAAAGGAAGGGCCCGGTCAGAAGGCCCCAATTGGCCCTGATTGCTGGCCAGGCCTAGGGACCCTACCTATGCATGAATTTCATGCACCGGGCCTCTAGTTATACTATACTCTCCTGATAGACAATCCTGTCTACAGGGACTCAATGAGTTATGCAGAAGGAAATAATAGCCAAATAGTTTCTCTAGTCCTGAATTACCTTTGAGCCCAGACCACAATTTCCAATTGCTTACTTAATACCTTTACTTAAATATCTCAGAAGCAATCCAACATGGCCATAAAAGAATTTATCATTTTTTCACCAATTTAATCCTCTTCAGGGTTTCTCATCTCGTTCAGTGGCATTTCCATTCATCTCATTGCACTAGTCAGGACCTGGAAAAATCATTAATTTTATCCTCTTTCCTACCCTGTTCCACCCCAAACCAGTCCATTGCTAAATCATGTTAATATTTCCTCCTCAGTACTCATAAATCTGTCTTGTTAATACTGGCTCCATCACCTCCTCCCTAAATGCAGCTGTCATCTTTCCTTGGCTGTATTGCAAAATCCTCCTATCTGGCTTTTCTTATCTATTCTCTCCTGCAACAGTTGTTCACATAAAACTCGGTGTTACGTTCTCAAAACAAAAATTTGATATTCTACCACGTTGCATAAAAATCCCCAAAATGGTTCCCCAATTCCACGAGGATCAAGACCAAATATACAAGGGTTCCAATTTCCTCCACATCCTCACAAAAACTTGTGGTGGTTTAGTTTTTTGCTTTTGCTTTTTTAAATCCTCATCCTAAAATTGATTTTAGAGAGAGAGAGAAAGAGAGAAAAACATCAATGTGAGAGAGAAACATCAAGCTGTTGTCTACCATATGTGCCCCGACCAGGGATGGAACCTGCAACCTGGGTATGAGCCCTGACTGGGAATCAAACTCAAGACCCTTCAGTGCACAGGGCGATGAGCCAAGCAACTGAACCACACTGTCTAGGGCTAGTTTTTTATACCTTAGTTGGTGTACAGTGCATTAGGCTTTTGGTTTGTTTCCCTAATGTCTAATGATATTAAACATCTTTTCACGTGGTTATTAGCCTTTTGCATATCTTCTTTGAAGAAATAGCTATTCAAATCCTCTTGCCATTTTTAATTCAGTCATTTATCTTTTATTGATAAGTTGTAAAAATTCCACATAGGTTCTGGACACAAGTCCCTTGGCAGAGATGATTTTCAATTTTTTTCTCCCATTCTTTTCATTGGTTTTTCACACTCTTGATCCAATTGGTGCATAATTTTTTTTTTACTTTGTAAGAGTGAAAATTATCTATTTTTTTGTTTACTTGTGCTTTAGATATCATATTTAAAGAAGAATTGACTAACGCCCATAAGATTTATATATGTTTTCTTTCAAAATATTTATAGCTTTAGTTATTACATTTAGGTATATGATTTATTTAGAATTTTTAATGGTTTGAGGTTTTTACAGTGTGACGTACACGTTCTTTTACATGTGGCTATCCAGTTTTCCCAACATCATTTATTGAAAAGATTGTTCTTTCCATCGGTGAATTATCCTGACATCCTTGTCAAAAGCAATTCATGATAAATATAAGGTTTTATTTTTGGACACTTAACTCTCTTCCATCATCTATCTTGATTACTATAATTTGTAGCAAGTTTGAAATTGGGGAATTGACTCCACAAATTTTTTCTTTTTTATCAAGATTGTTTCAGCTGTTCTGGACCTTTCTAAGTCCCATATAAATTTTAAGATGTGCTTGTCAATTTCTGAGAAAAAATTAACTGAGATATTGGTAAGCATTGTGTTGAATCTATAGATCAATGTGGAGGTCCTGCAGTCTTAACTAGTAAGTCTTCTGATCCATGAACATTCAATACTTTTCCATTTCTTTAGGTTGTTTGACTTCTTTTGACAATCTTTCATAGTTTTCAGAGTACACGTCTTAACACTTTTTAATACAGTGTCATTTTTTATCCCTTTCATCTCAGGAGGATGAAATTAACAACTAAACCAGATGATCCTGTCTACTGGAAAATGAAGAAAACACTGAACTGTCATCCTTTGGGCAAAGAATATAGAAAATACTTTTTGTATCTGCTATAAGTAACTCTTCTTGGCACCACTGTAGGAGAAAAGTATATAGGAAATGTTTGACATTCAGTTGCTAGAGAATTGGGGCCTTCTGGTCCACACAGCATGCTTAGCTCAATCCCAGCACAGTCAAGGAGCTATGACCCAATTCCTCAATTGTCTTGGGTTAAGGCTTAACTGTTAAGCTCTCCACTCCAACCTGTTTTTCTTCAAAAGTGTTCCTCAAGTTAAATATATATAACAAGGAAAACCATCATCAAAGGTCTACCTTATAACAACATAAAAGAGTAAAGTAATGTTCAGTTAAATACCTGTATTTGGCCTCCCTACCTACATGCCTTGACTTCTTCACTCTTCATTTCTAAAGACTTACTAATTTTTAATTTAAAAATATTTCTCTTACTCACCAAGTGCTGTACACAGATCAAGACAGATCCAGTTCCTGATTTCACAAAGCTTATATGTAAAAAAAATGTTAGAGTAAAATCAATAGAGTTTCTACATCCTTACATTTTATAAATTTGAGTTGTGTGCAATATATATGTATTATTTCATCTAGGCAAAACCCAATCCAAAGCAATTTCACCTGGAAGAATTTCCCTATGGGTTTCCATGGACCACATTTGTATAATTTGAACATACGGGAAATGCCTGTAAATGGGTATAACATTAAAAACATCCATGAGTCCATAGTGATACCTAAAAATATCAGTTAATAATTGTAAAAGATGAGATAAAATTAGAAAATCATCAATTTTCAATATCAAGTAAATGGCCACTAAACCAAAATGTAAAAGGCTGTTGGAGGACAGGCTACTCCCACACTGCCAAAAAAAAAAAAAGAACACCTCACAGATTACTGATTAATTACAAGGGCCAAATTTACAATAGGGAAATCTGACAGTCACCATATGACCTTAATGATCAGCTTAACATTGTCAATAGTGGGCAACCTAACATTAACTCCTGATAAGACATGACTTTACAACATCCTATGTGTGTAAATAAAGAATTATTAACAAATCAGTCTAACCAAAATCTAATCCAGTGTATCAATCAAGGGTTGGGAAACTATAACATGCAGGCTAAATCCAGGCATCTGCCTGCTTTTATAAATAAACTTTTATTGGAACACATCCACAGTCATGTGTTGATGGATTTTCTATGCCTCCTTTCATACTACAATGTCAGAGTTAAGTTGTTGTGAAAGACACTGCAAAATCCCAAAGCCAAAATATTTACTCACTAGCCAATGACAGAAAGAGCTTGCTGGGACCTGTTCTTTCAGACCTGGGTATTAGTATACATAAAATACATGGAACAGAATAACAAGTTAAATAGCATCATGAGGAAACAATCAGGCAAATCAAGAACATAGAGCATTCAACAAGCCAGGTGATCTGGACTCTTCTAAAGTCAGTATCATTTAAAAAGATAATATCATTTTAAAAAGTGACTAAGTCTATTCTAGAAAACAGATAAAAGCAACATAACAATCAAATTCAATGTCAGTCTACCAGTAAGTCTATTCTGATTCAAATATACAGCTATAAAAATATTTTGGAAGCAATTGAAATAATTTAAATATGTATCAATTATTAAAATTAAAGTTATTAAATTGCTAATATTCTTTGGTGTTTGTAATAATAGTATTCTAGTTATGAGGAGAATATTCTTTAGATTCTTTAATATTTACCAGATATTGGTAAATATTGAAGAATGAAGTGTCATGATATCTGCCACTATCAAAGGTTTTAGCAAGAAAATGTATATGTATGTATATACATTAAGACTTCTAATGTTACACTATATAATTGTTGACTCTAAAGGGTATATGAGTGTTTCTTGTACCATTCCAAATTCAATTTAAAAATTGTAAATAAAAGTATCATAAAAGTAAACATATTAGTTATTATTAATATAAATTCCTAGGTGTGCAGAAAATGTCTTTTCCTCAGCACAAAAGTAATTTTGTAAATAGATATCTTATAAAACTATAAATTTGCATGGCTATATGGTAATGGATTTAAAATCCAAAAATGATAAAACAATATTATTAAAATATTAGGAGAAAATTGAGAGAATCTGAACTTCTCTGCCTAGCAAACAAAAAATGGAAATGAGTATTGTTCCCAACCTAACAATAAAACAAATCCATATAAACTACAAAGTCATTAATTTTCTTGAACCCATAAGACAATTGAGGTAAAGGGCAACAAAGTAACCTAAAATCTAAGGAAAGACAAGATCATCCAAGGAGAGACCATCAGGAGAACTGGTTCATTTATGGCAGAGCACAAAGGAAGTGATTTGGATGCAAAACGAATAGTTAAAAATACTTGACCTAAATATTTAATGAATTGCTAAGAGCCAAGTGTGAGTAATCATGATAGTAAAGAATCTCTGAGGCACTGAGTGGCAGGAATGTGGAGAGACCCTCTCTGAGATGCAGCTTCACAGGAAAGGTCTACAGCTGACAGTGAAGCAAATGATGAAAACCCTCTGTCAAAACAGCCCCACCATAAGCACAAGATAACAAGGTAGCACTAGAATATAATGAAGCCCAGATGCAATGACTACCACTAGATAGCTCTCTCAAAAATATTCTAGTAAAAATATAGGTGTGCCTATTGCCAAAAACTAATAATATAAACCTCAGTGTCCACTGTTCTACACACATTGCCCAGCATTCAACCAAAAATTATGAAATACATCAGCAAAAACAGTCCATGAAGAGTTCAACACAATCAGACTGAGGGGTAAACTAACAGACACAGAATTTTAATAATTATGAATAATATGTGAAAGGCTCTAAAGTAGTAGTTATCACCTGGGGGGCATTTTGTCCTAGGGAACATTTGGCAATTTCTGGAGACATCTTTAGTTTCACAGCTGGAGGGGTACCTACTATAGTAAGTGCAGGCAAGAGATTCTGCTCAGCATTGTACAATGTACAGGACAGCCCCAGCCACAAAAATGTATCCAGCCCCCCAAATGTCAATAATGCTGAGGTTGAGTTCTGTTCTAAACTCCCTTATATTATACAGATGCTAAAAACAGATGTCTACCTTTTCACTATTAAAAACTAGAAAATGTCTACAAAAACATATAAGGTGTAAAGAGAATAACTTTTAACAGGAAATGTCATGTTCTCTTCTGTTACCCCAAAGTTGAGAAACCCCATTCTCCTGGAAAAGGGGCAATATGTATGAACATATGGGACATTTCAAAAGAAAATAGAGGCCACAATTTAATATTTCATTAACAACATACCTTTAATCAAAATCCAAAGGCATAGAAAAAACTAACAAGCTTTACTACTTAAAGTTTCTGGATGATAAAGATCACCATTAATAAAGCCTGAAGACTATATAAAATATTTTAATGTTAATAAGAGATTAATCCATAATCTAAAGTAATTTTTAAATTGCAATGATAAAATGCTATAAATATATTAGAAAATTATAGGTCATTAACAGAAAAAGAAAAATGCTAAGACATAGTAATCAAGAATACTGAAATTAATATAAGAAGCTAATATTGCAGAAATTAGAAAAATATAGAGTTGGATAACATTCAACATTGGTTAGACCAGAGTGAAATGGATATTGTCATTAAGTACCAGGATAAATTAATATGCACACTTACTTTATTCAGCAATTTGTTACTAGCTATGAAAGTTTAAGATGCACATATCCTAGGGCCCACAAATCCCACTTCTTTTCGTCTACCTTAGAGAAATGCTCTCATATTCATAGGAAGGTATTTATTAGAAGGTGTTTTAAGTAAATTTTACAAGAATGATCAATTGAAAAGTATGCAAGCAATAGAATGTACAACACCAAGAGTGAACCCTAATGCAAACTATGGACTTTTGGTGAGTATAAATGTAGGTTCATCAATTGTAACAAATGCACCATACCAGTGAGTGATGTTGATAATGAGGGAGGCTATACATGTGTGGGGGCAAGGGTAAACAGGAAAATTGGTAAACCTTCGTCTTACATTGCTGTAAACCTAAAACTTCTCTAAAAAAATTATGTTTTTTTATTTTTTTTTAATATATATTTTATTGATTTTTTACAGAGAGGAAGGGAGAGAGATAGAGAGTTAGAAACATCAATGGGAGAGAAACATCGATCAGCCGCCTCCTGCACATCTCCCACTGGGGATGTGCCCGCAACCCAGGTATATGCCCTTGACCGGAATCGAACCTGGGACCCCTCAGTCCGCAGGCCAATGCTCTATCCACTGAGCCAAACCGGTTTCGGCAGTTTTTTTTTAAATAGAGGGGTTAATTTCCAAAATTTATAAAGTACTCATGCAACTCAACAAAAGGAAAATAAGTAATCTTATTAGAAAATGGGCAGAGGGCCTGAACAGAAACTTCTCCAAAGAGGACATACAAATGGCCAAGTGACATATGAAAAAATGCTCAATGTCACTAATCATCAGAGAGATGCAGATTAAAATGACAATAAGATACCACCTCACACCTTCCAGAATGGCTACCTTCAATAAATCAACAAGTGCTGGAGAGGGTGTGGAGAAAAAGGAACCCTGGTACACTGCTGGTGGCTATGCAGACTGATATAACCACTATGGAAAATAGTGTGAAATTTCCTCAAAATGGAACTGCCATATGACCTAGTGATCCCACTTCTAGGAACACAGTTAAACCTGTTTCTTGAAAGTCTCCCATCTCAAACAATTCAGTTCTTGACCAAGTTGTTCACAGAAAAAAAAGTCTCAGTCATCGACCAAAACTTCAGTTTTCCACCTCAGCATAACAAAAGTGTCTCTCAAGCAACAAACAAAAAAGAGAATGCATTTGCTGCTGGAGAAATGAAAGCTTAGCACAACTTTAAAAACCTAAAGAGGTGCCGAAACCGGTTTGGCTCAGTGGATAGAGCGTCGGCCTAAGGACTGAAAGGTCCCAGGTTCGGTTCCGGTCAAGGGCATGTACCTGGGTTGCGGGCACATCCCCAGTAGGAGATGTGCAGGAGGCAGCTGATCGATGTTTCTCTCTCATCAATGTTTCTAACTCTCTATCTCTCTCCCTCCCTCTCTGTAAAAAATCAACAAAATACATAAAACATTTAAAAAAAAAAAACTAAAGAGGCTATCAAGAGTGCTGTTAAAAAAAAAACAAGAGTGCTAATGTTGGTAAGGGTGTGAAAGTACTCACAAAACAACAATCACAGACAATTGAATAGGTAGAAAAACTGTTGTTTACTGGATAAAGGAAAAGTAACTAGCCAGGGATAGATTTCAGAAGCAGTGATATATGAAAAATTTGTTTGAGGCTAGTAGGGTATGGGTTGATAAATTTAAGAAAAGAAGAGTTTATAGATTAAGCAGTACATTAAACATGTACTATATGTAAGAAAGTTTAAAACAGGAAATCATTTGGGGGTCTGGAACATAGTAATTCAATTCGGTTTTCGAACAAATCACTTCTCAAACAGCCTTGGGTTTGAGAACCAAGTTTCCACTGGATATCCTAAGAAACATGAAACACCAATCAGAAAGAATGTATGCACCCCTATGTTCATAGCAGCACAATTTACAATAGCTAAGATCTGGAAACAGCCCAAGTGCCCATCAGTAGACAAGTGGACTAAAAAGCTGTAGTACATTTACAACATGGAATACTATGCAGCATGGAGTAACCTGGAGAGTATTATGCTAAGTGAAATAAGCCAGTCAGAGAAAGACAAGCAACACATGATCTCACTCATATGTGGAATCTAATTAACAAAATAAACTGACAAACAAAATAGATCCAGAGACATAGAAGCATGGAACAGACTGTTGAATCTCAGAGGGAAGGCAGGGGTGGGTAGGTGGGAAGAGATCAACCAAAGAACTTGTATGCATATATGCATAACCCCTGGACGCAGACAATAGGGTGGTGAAGGCCTGGGGTGGGTGGTGGGGGAGGGCTAGAAGGGGTCAATGGGGGGAAACAGGGGACATACCATATTTTATTTTCCCGTGTATAAGGCACTATTTTTTTCTAAAATCATTAGACTAAAAAAATAAATAAATAAATAAAATAAAATAAAATCATTAGACTAAAAACAAGGGTCTTAACATGGAAGTCAGCCGAAGAGGGAGCCTCGAGGTGTATAGTTGCCCACTTGTTCAACAGGCTTCCTCCAATCACAAGCGTTATTGTTACTGATGTCAGCTGATGCTGTAATTAGAGGAGGAGGTGGAGAGTGCGAGGTGCAATGGGGACCAGAGTGTTCTGAGCCCATAAAGATGTCAAAAAATAAAAAGATAAATACCAGTAAGCGATTGTCTTACTCTGCAAAATTCAAACTGAATGTTATGCAAAAGAGCCTGGAAACAGAGCTGCAGAGAGACAATTTGGACCTCCTCCCACTGAGTGTATGGTCAGACAATGGAGAAAACAGGAAGAACAACTCCTTTAGATGCCAAAAAAAAAGGCCTTAAGAGGAAAACCAGCAAAATGTTTAAAATATTGATTTCTTAATTTGGGGTTGGAAAAGTGGGGGGCATCTTATATATGGGTGTGTCTTCTACACGGAAAAATACAGTATGTAATATGTCCAACAATAACAATTTTTTTAATTAAAAAAATGAAACACTTTGCAGATACCAGAAAAAAAATATCAAAAAAGTTTATTTAATTGCTTCAAAATATATAAATTAAAAATTGATAGAATTACAAGATTTATTCAGCAATCCAAAACCATGGTGGAAGAGTTAAATGTAGCTCTTTTAGTACATTATAGATCAGAAACTGCTATGGACCAAATGTTTGTGTCCACCAACATTCATATGTTAATGCCTTCCCCGGTGCGATGGTAGCTGGAGATGGGGCCTTTGGGAGGTGATTAGATTATGGGAGTAGACCCCTCTTGGATGGGATTAGTGCCCTTATAAAAGGGACACCAGAAAGCTCCCTCAATCCTTCTGTCATGTGAGTACAGAGGGAGAAGCTGGCCATCTGTGAACCAGGAAGCAGACGTCAAATTTGCTAGTGCCTCGATCTTAGATTTCCAGGCTCCAGAACTGTGAGAAATAAATTTCTGTTGTTTATAAGCCACCCAGCCTATAGTATTTTTGTTATAGCAGCCTGAACTGATTATGACAGAGACCAATATTTATTATAAACATGCAGATTTTGAGACACAAATAATAGGCTGAATCTAGTAGACATATGTAGAATATATTGATTTCAACCACCCATGAAGCACTTACAAAAACTGACCATGTAAGAAGTGCATCTGTTAGAAATTGTATTCGACTGTAACAAGCCCATCCCTGCCTTCCCTTCCCCAATTCCCTCCTCAAAAAAGCAATGTCATGTACAGTAAGAAGTGCATCTAACAAGATATTCAGAAATAAATAGTTCGGGGCTGGTGCAGACACATAAAGATACCAATTGGGGAATCAGAATGTTTATAACCTCTGGCCACACTCTCTTTAGCCCGTGCCTTTAATCCTCATGGTCACAGATGGCTCCTCTAGCACTGGACGCCATGTCTGCTTGTGCAAAAGGCAACTAGAGGGACCAAGCTAAATGAAACCACTCCTTTCCAATCTCTTTCCCAAGAGTCACACCCAGCGACTTCTCATACTGACCAGAACTGGGCGATGTGGCCTCTAACTACAAGGACTGGGAGATGGAGGTTTTTTAATAGTGCACATTACCAATGTGAACAAAAAAACGTAGGTTCTGTTGTAAAGAAGAAAGGGCAGTTTTGGTAGGCAACTAGTAGGATGTGCCATACTAGACCAAAAAGAAATCTCAACAAAAACCCAAAGACCACACACTCTGCTCAATGTAATTAAATTAGAAACCAACAACAGAAAGGCAACTAAGAAACACCCAGATATATGCAGGAACTTTCCAGAATGACAGAAATGTTCTATATCTTGAATGGGTTGTTGGTTACATGTATATATACATCTGTCCAACTCATCTAACTCATAATATTTATGCATTCCACTATAAATAATTATACCTCTACAAAAATATAACCATGCAGTTATTTAAAAATCTAATTACAAATAAGTAATGTGTCAAAGATTTAATAATGGAAACTAAAACAATATTTAAAATCAACCAAAAATTAAATTAGACATCAAAACATGTTATGAAGCTAAACAAGTACTATAAGAGATTATTATAGGCCCAAATGTTTATATTTTTACAAATTGGAAGTTAATTAGCAAGGGGCCTACCAAATGAATGAGACACTGATAAAGGCAGGCTGGTATGAATCCTTTTATGCACAGTAAGTGAAGAGCTGTGCCTGAACGCTTTCTCACACTGATTACATTCATAGGGTTTTCCTGTAGTGTGTGTTCTCACGTGCACAATAAGGTGTGAGGACTGACCAAAAGCTCGCCCGCATTCCTGACAGGCATAGGGCTTCTTGCCGGTGTGGGTCCTTGCATGTTTCCTGAGGGATGAGGGCTCACTAAAGGCTCGCCCACATTCCTGGCATGCGTAGGGCCTCTCTCCAGTGTGGGTTCGCATGTGACTCTTGAGGGTTGAGAGACGACTCAACACCTGACCACAAGTAGTACACTCATAAAGTTTCTCCCCCGTGTGGATCCTCTTGTGAACGTTCAGATGGGTACTCGTTCGGAAGGGCTTTCCACACTGGTTACACACATACGGTTTCTCTCTGGTGTGAGTTCGCAGATGAGTCTTCAGTGACGAATGTTCCCTGAAAGCTTTCCCACACTGACTGCATTCAAAGGGCTTCTCTCCAGTGTGAGTTCTCATGTGGCTCCTCAGAGAAGATGGCTGATTAAAAGCTTTCCCACAGTCCTTACATTCATAGGGCTTCTCACCCGTGTGGTTTCTCTGGTGCAAAATCAGGTTGAAGTTCCTTGTGAAGGTTTTCCCACACTGACTACATTCAAAAGGTTTCTCTCCCGTGTGTGTCCTCATGTGGCGTCGCAGATTCGAGGAGTACTTGAAGGCGTGCCTACATTCCTGACATTCAAAGTACTTCTCTGAGGTATGGGTCTTCTCGTGCCTGATAAGGTCAGAGCTGTATCTGAAGGACTTTTCACATTTGTTACATGCATAGGTTTTATCTCCACTATGCCCACTATGGGTCTTCTCGTGCACTATTTGGTGAGTGGTCTGGAAGAAGGATTTCCCACTCTCTGGGCATTCATAGGGGTTGCCTCCAGCATAAATTCTCTCACACTGAAAAAGTTGTTTGATACTGTTAAAGGGTTCCCCAAATTCATTATACTTATAGAGTTTTTCTCCAGGCAGGGGTTGCTCCTGTCAATTGAGGAAAATGTGAAGACCAAATATTTCATTATAATCATCAACCTTCTCCCCCAAGCAAATTGTGTGTAGAATCAAGACATTTCTATAGCTGAAGCTTTTACCATTTTCATGTGTCTGTACTATTTCTTACTCTAAGTTCTATCAAGTGGATGCAATTCCACAAAGAGCTATCATTTTCATTACTTGCATGGGGCTTCTTAGATGTAGACTTTTTCTGAATTGTTTAAGACTACACTATGTCTGTGTCCCATTTAGGAACATGGTGAGTTGTGGGAATTCTATGAAGATGCGTCTTAATCTACATTTCAAGTTTTCTCCCACTTCATCATGACATTCACAGACTCTCTACCAAGAAAATGCTTTCTCTTGCATGAGCATCCCTTGCCTTAAATCTTTCTCTAGCCACATGTGCTGTTTTTCTAACCAGCAGCAACTCCAGACTTCCTATTATAGAGGACCAAGAATAACTGTTGTGTACCTTACCCTTTCTATGCCAATGGATGCAATCTTCGCAAAAGTATCTTGGTTAAGAATTGACTCTTGGGATTGAGGTTGAGGTTCTGAAATGAATTAAAGGTGAGGGGGAGAAATTAAATGTTCAGAGAAGGAAACTAGGATCAAGATGACCAAAAAAGTAAGCTAGGACAAGTAGATTATTTTTTAAATACTGATCTTAAATATGGGACGAAAGGGTGAAAAGGAGAATGTACCAGAGAGCAAAGGAAAATTTTAAGGCATTTGGCTATGTGAGGAGTCAAGAAATCACAGAGACAAAGGATAGAAATAGTAGATAATTTACTAAGGAAGTATTCTATGATATTGAGAGAAAGTATTAGTCTACAGGAGGGAGGAACTGGATGAAATACACACATGAAAATGCTAAATGTGCAGGGAAGGAGGGATAAATTGTTCTATGAAACCAGAGTAAGGTATCTGAGATAAAAAGAGAAAGGAAAAAGGGTGAAACTCACTAAGGGAGCTCAACCAATAGCCTTCTCTGTCAAAGGCGTTGAAAGTATGCCCCTTACTGACACTTTCCAAACTGAGCATTCATCTTACCATCAGAACTAGCGCTCCCCTGATATGCCTGGCACTCACCTGTTCGGACTCCTGGGAACATCCCTCTATCAGTGATCCACAGCTCTTCTCTTTGCTCCAAATAGGAAGGGGTGCTGAGTTTGCATAGTTGATCTCCTGCTCGTGGGGAAAGACACATGGTGTGGGCAGACTACGCCTGCCATGAAGCCAGGGCTGATTTTCTGAAGTCATTAGGAGCGCTGGAGATGGGAGCAGTGAAATGCACATGCCTAAATGTGGATGGGCACAGCAGAGCTCTCTTCACTAAGGAACAAGCTCCTTCGCTGGGTCCCCAAAACCTAGGGCCTAGCTCAGGGATGTACGTATTTGAGAAGCCCAGAAACCGCAGATAGATATTCATTTCCATGGGGAGGCCACTAGACTATCTATATATATATAAAAGCCTAAGCAACCGTCCAACCGTCCAGTAGCTATGATGCGCACTGACCACCAGGGGGCAGACACTCAACACAGGAGCAGAAACCACAGGCATGGAAACATGGTACAGACTGATAAATCTCAGAGGGCAGGGGGGCAGGGGGGAAGAGATGTACCAAAGATCTTATATGCATATTAGAGGCCCAAAGCACGGATTTGTGCACCGGTGGGGGTCCCTCAGCCTGGCTTTGTCTGCCTTTTCATCTCTCAGTTTCCAAACCAGCACAGTTCCAGGAACCCCCATACTTGCTGCATGAGCGTATGGATGAAGTGATGAGAGCAGTCTTACCCACAGAGGCCAGGTTCCTGTAGTTCTCTAGCATCACGTCTCTATACAGGCTTCTCTGGGCAGAGTCTAGAAACATCCATTCTTCTGGGGTGAAGAGCACAGTCACATCTGCAAAGGTGACTGGTTCCTAAAATGCACACCCATTCAGGCTCAGTCAAGGGCCACTTCTGCCAACACTTAAGAGGATGGTGGGGAGCTGGCAAGCCTGGGAACAGAGACACTGTGTGGAGGATTTTCAGATGGGGCTCTGAGGTACCTCAGAATCTGCCCTTGGGCTTAGGCCTCAAAACTAGAATTCTCGCTCTACTCTTCCCTTCCTGAGGGACAGCACCCAGAGGCGTAGTGCCAAAGGACCTCAACTTCATGACAGGACTTAGCTACTGACAATTAGCTAGGAAGCACTTTCAGTTTTATTCCCCTTCAGTCCCAGGGTCCAGCAGACCTAAGCATGTGGCAAGCAAGAAAAAGGCAAGAGAGAAATATTTGCTCCAGGAGACCGTGATGGTTAGGAGACAAGGACAACTCACATCCTTGCTTTATTTTCCCTCCTGATGCTCAGCAGAACATGGCACTTAACAACCTGGGGAAGGTCTGACTAAGGGGGCATATTTGTTGCCAGAGCTGTCCTCCCCCCACTGAGAGAAGCCCCATGCCTAGATGCCTGGAGGCCAGCCCTGTGGGGTCTAAAAGCTCCAGGTAATGAGAAGGGTACAGGGGGAAAGCAAGAAAGAAGAGCAAGGAGCACTTCTTACTTACCTGTACACAGGTAGACAGCACGCCAGGAACCACAGCTTCTTTCTCTACACTTTCCTCCTGTAGCCACACAGGCTCTTGAGCAAGCAGAGCTAGAGGAGGAGGGGAGAGCTGTGGCGCCCAGTGAACATGCTCACAAGACCAAGGGCTGCCCACCCTGATTGCTGGTGATCACATGTGTACACACACCCATGCACACACTCATAGGGACATGCAGTGCCCACACTCCCAGCCTCCTTCTCAGTTTTTTGTATAAGCTCCTCCTCCATCTCCCCATGATGCAGACCTTCCTCTTCTCATCTCCCTCAGTACTTTCTGCCTCAGCTGGCAACCTGCCCCTCTACTTGGCCAACTCTACTTGACAATGCTGACTCAGATCTGAATTCCAGACCAGACACCCAGCCATCGGCTCCAATCTCTACACTTACCTATCTGGGGGAACAAGAATGGAATATCCAGAATGAGCTAAAAAGCAAGGCTGTCGCCCCAGCAGGCAGCTCTAAGGAACAAGGATTATTCTCAGGCCTTGATCTTGCCCTGCTGGGCTGTGAACTTGCTTGGGACCCGTGACCCCTTTTTTCTCTCTTGTTGGGAATGGAAATGCCTGTCCTAAGCAGGCCCCACCATTGTATTCTGGAAGCAGAGATCTCCTTTCTGATTTCACAGGTTCACAGATGAAGAGAAGTTTGCCCCAGGCTGGATCACACCCTAAGCCTCACCCATATCTGATTTGGATGATATACATGATAAAATTTGGGCCTTTTTTCAGCTGATGAGATTTAGATGAAATTTTAAGACTGCTGGAATGGGTAAAAATTGGAGGAACGTTGGGACCACAGTTGCATGTGGGGACGGCACCAATTTGTAGGAGCCAGAGGGCAGACTGTTATGGGTTGGATTGTGTTCCCAAATAAAAGAGGAAGTTCTAACTCAGTGATGACGAACCTTTTGAGCTCGGTGTGTCAGCATTTTGAAAAACCCTAACTTAACTCTGGTGCCATGTCACATATAGAAATTTTTTGATATTTGCAACCATAGTAAAACAAAGATTTATATTTTTTATATTTATTTTATATATTTAAATGCCATTTAACAAAGAAAAATCAACCAAAAAAAATGAGTTCGTGTGTCACCTCTGACACCACGCGTGTCATAGGTTTGCCATCACTGTTCTAACTCATGGTACCTCAGAATGTGATCTTATTTGAAAATAGGGTGTTTGCAGATGTAATTAGTTAAATGAAGTTACAGTGGAGCAGAGTGGGCCCTTAATCCAATGACTGGTGTCCTTATAAGAGGAAAAGAGACACAGAAACAGCGACAGATGAGGGGAGAAGACCATGTGACAATGCAGGCAGAGATTGGATCGATGCATCTACAAGCCAAGGAACACCAAGGATGCCAACAACCACCAGAAGCCAGGAGAGAGGCAAAGAAGAACCCTCCCCTCCAAATTTCATAGGAAGTATCACCCTGCAGACATCTTGATTTCACACTTCTGTGCCTTTAGAACTATAAGATATAAATTTGTTTCATTCCCGCCCCCCCCCATCCCTCCTCCCCTCCCCCCACCCCCCCACCCCCGCCACACACACACACACACACACACACAAAATGCGCTCACCACCTTCTTCTCAAAGGCTATTCCTCTTCCAGTGTTCCCAATCTGAGGAAGTGACATCCCTGCCTCAGATGTGAAATCTCTCCCCTCTCTGACACTCTACAGACCCCAAAAATTAATCCCCGAAAAAATAAATCAGTAGTGACATCTCTACTTGAAGCACCCACCTCTCCCCAACTCCACCCACCCACTTCCTTTCCCCCTAACCCTGTCCTCACCATGGCTAATGCCACATCATACCTTTCTCCCTCCTGGATCCACTTAAATGTCACTCCCTCATGACTTAGATGTCACAACCCTGTTCCCCGCATGGCATTTGGCACATAAATGCTCTGGATCATCTGGTAAATGAAATGTACATACTACTCATCAAATTGTCTCAATTTGACCTCCTACATGTCTTAGAATGAATGTTCCATGCTTACCTACTGTGCAGATAAAAGTTAACACAGAAGGCTTGACAGTGCTCCTTAGCAAGGCCTGATGGCAAAGTTGGACCTTGGCTGGGGTCTGGAAACTTGGATTTCAAGAGGGATCCTACCACCCTACCTGATAAGAGGAGTTCACTCTGCTTAAACAGTTTCTACAGTGTAGTTTGTGCTGAATGCCTGCTTCCCTTCTAGGAGTCTGGAACATAGGTATGTTCTGGGCAGAGGGTGCCCACATGCCCAGCCACTAGTGAAAACCCTGGGTGCTGAGTCTCTAATGAGCCTCCCTGGCAGACAACACTTTGCATGTGTTGTCCCAGATCACTGAGGGGAATTAAGTGCTTCCCATGTAATTCTGCTGGGAGAGGAGTCTGGAAGCTGTGCCTGGTTCCCTCCAGACTTCACCCCCATGCACCTTTTCCCTTGGCTGATTTTGCTTGGTATCCTTTCACTGTGATAAACCATAGCCATGCATACAACTATATTCTGTGCCCTATGAGACCTTCTAGTAAGTCACCAAACTTGGGAGTGGTCTTTGGGTCACTCGCCCCAACTCTAGGTCGCCACCATTCCATTCCTAACTGCCTTCATCCACCACTCACATCTTCCCTGAAGCCCATCATCCTCCCAGGTGCTGTGAGTTCTGTTAGGTGCACGGTAGCACTCACTTAAATGCGCCCCTACTCTCAGTAGCCTTAGGGCATGAGCCAGGTTCTATTCCCACGCTTCCAGGCCCTAAATAATCTGGAGCCCATTCACTCTCGTCAGCTCATACCACTCTCCACCTCCCTCTGCCCCTTCCACAGCCTCCCATGGGCCTGCCCCTGGGCATATCCGGCCCTGAGAGGTTTTACAGAAGCTGTTCCTAGGCCTGAAATCCTCTCTCCAAACTCTCTCCAAACAGCACAATATCTGGCCAAACTACTTGATACAGTAATTATGATGTAATCCAGTGCCTGCAATTAAAGTTAAGATGCTGTCTGTCCTCCAGAATTTTTCCCCTACTTCTCAGGAAATGTGCCTTTTACATAATTGTGTAGTAAACAATGTAATCTCTCCTAAAGAGAGGTCTGGCCTTTTGCCACAGCTGAGTGGGGCCTGCTTTTTTTTTTTAATATGTCAATTTTTTAATATCAATTATCTTAATCCTCACCTGAGGATATATTTGAGAGAGAGAGAGAAAAAAAAAGAAAGAGAGAGGGGGAAAGAGAGAGACAGAAACATCAATTGGTTGCCTCCCATAGATGACCAGACTGGGGATGGAGCCTGCAACCTTTTGACATACAGGACATTGCTCCAATCAACTGAGCCACTTGGCCAGGGCTATAGCAATTGTTTTATGACAATAGCTCCTTTGGTTAAAGAGCATGTTTGTTGTTGACACTAGGACCTACTTTTTCAAAACAGAAAGATCTGAAACCCAAAAAAACAAAAACCTGAGAACTGTGAAATGTCTTTCCCCTTGAACACACAGATAATGAGAGAGGCCTTTAAGTATTCTTACTGCCATCAGAGGAAATGAAGGCTGGAGATGCAAGTTCCCACAGGACAGCCAGGCCCTCTGACTGACTCCACCAGGAATCACTCACCAGAACCCTTGGCCCAGGGGTCGGGAAGGCCCAGTGCAGGCTCCGGCGTGGCAACCCCCTGAATCTGCACAGCCGCCTTCAGTCCCTGGATGGAGTGACAGGGACAGATTAGAGCCACATGGTGATGGAAGGGATCCATTCACACCTGCTCACTGACTGAACTCATGACTGGTCCTGATTTGGAGAACATGTGATACGAGGACATGCCCTGATTACCTGCCCAGAGTTACCCCATCCTTCAGGACAAGGCTAACCACTGTGTTAGAACTGCAACTCCAAGGATAGAGAACAGGGGCCCCCGTGGAGGAGGCCTCCTCTGAGCAGCCTCCAGCTGTGGGGGAAACACTGGAGCAAAGCTAGCAGTGGGTGCCAGCAGGTTGAGGGGTAGGAGTAGAAGGCATGGACCCATGGAAATGAGGGGAGTTAGGAAGGAAGCCCTGTGGTGGAAGAAAGGATTGGAATGGTTCTCTACTGGTAGCTGCTCTCTCTGGAAAGGTATCTAACCTGACCTGCACTTCTAAGGGATGCTGCTGGCCTCTACGCCGAGTGGGACCAGTGGAAGCGGGAGTCTGTTAAAAGCAGTTCCTGGTGACTCCAGGAAGGGTGGTCGCAGGGGGGGCAGGAGAGCAGTCAAAAGTAGGTTACGGCTTGGCAGAAAAGCTCACAGAACTTGGTGGTGGATGGGAAGTAAATGCACAGATCTCTGAGGGCAGGTGATGGGCAGGGGCTGGCGAGAGGCCCCTTCTCCTCGGGGAAGTGTCCCTTTCTGATACTCTCAGTCATCAGCCTGGACACTCCTAACCCAGCCCTTAGATCACCGGACCTGCTCATTCCTATAGGTTTCCTGATGTTTGTGAGGATGGAAAGACTGGAAGGAAGAAAGGCTGGACCAAAAAAGGCAAGGTCAGAGTGCTAATCCCTGCCATCTGCCACCTTCGAGGTTTGCCTTCTATGAAGAAATGCTAGGGCCTGTTCAGTTCTTACTAGGAATTAAGCCAAGGCCTCCAGCATGTTCAAGTTTCCAACAGTGGGCCCTAGATGCTTCTTCCCCTCTGGCCTCCTCATTTACAGAAACCCTAAACCCTGGCCTTACGGGCTGAGCCCCCCCCAGCAAACCCCTTCCCAAACTTACTGTGTATCCAGAAGGCCAAGGGGACTCCCAGAGAGGTGGCCGGTCCTTTGGAGGTGAAAGTTTCTCCCTCTCTCCCATCCTGGGCCGGATCTGCATCCTCAAATCAAGCCCTGGCCCCTAAGAAAAGAAGTGGAGAATGCTGATCAGGACAAAGGTAACTGAGGTTTTTCTTGGCCTCAGAGACCCTTGGTTTAGAAATAGTGAAGTCAGAAATTGGGGCACATGGGTCTGGCAGTTTCAGACCTGATGACTCTTTTACTCCACTGAAGGCACCAGCCACCACCAAGGGTCTCCAAGGGCAGATCACGACAGACCTGACCCCTTCTGGTTTCGAGGGGCCCTGGCTGGAGGTGAGGCCACAAGCCCTCAGAGGCACTACAGGATGTTTGATCACAGAAAGGTTGGAAGCCCTCGGTTCTGAGTATGAACCATGGTCTGTGTTTTCTTAGATACTGTGTTTGTATATTTGGCATCCACCAATCATAGGGCCAAATTACTGGCCAGTTGTTTACGTCTCCCATGCCACCGAGAACCACCTCCCTGGCCACTTCTCATACAACCAATACTCCCCCATCCTAAAGCACCCAGACCAGGTGCCAGACAACCAGGTCCCCCAGAATTATTCAAACTCACCAATCCTGTTTATCCTGCCCTGTGGAAACCCCAATAAAGGCTCTGACCTATACTCTTCCCTCTCTCCCTTCTGCCTCTTGAGATGGTGGCCTAAGGAGTTAGGCCTGCATTCAACTCCCAGCTCCAAATCCAACTCGACCACCTGTGGCTGATGTGGCTTAGAGATGAAATGCTCAACTTCTCCACATGTGTCTGGAAGTGGATCTCCTCTGCCCACTCAGGACATTCTGTGACTGCCTATTTCCTGGGGCTCAGACGCAGCAGGAGACCCCTCCTCTCCCACACTCGGTGCTCACTACTGCACGGGACTGTAGTTCTGTGGAAGGTGCTGGAGCCCCATGCTGAGAGGAAAGAGCCACAGAAACCAGAGAGGACCTGCCCATTGTGGCATCCTTCCCCCTCCCACAGTCCACCTGCCAGTCAAAACATGGAGACGGTGAGGGCCTGGAGATGCCTTCAGCAGCACCTCTCTGTTCATTCCTACATTCAGCAAACATCGAGAGCTCTGGGACACACGGAATGCTCGATAAGGGGTTACTGCACCGATCCTGGCAGAGGAGGCCCCTGCAATCCAGCCGCTCCAATAACACATCTGCAGATCTCAAGTTCTCAAAAAGCACATGCCCTTTTCCAAGCAGCTATTGGGAGACATCCTCTACCTAAACAAGAATGTAAGACAAGGACATCGAGGACCTGGGGAGGAGGGAGTCTCAGCTGCCCTGGGGTCTGTTGCAAGCTGTGCAGGGTAAGGGTTTTGGCTGCCCCGCAGCCCATACCAGGTTATACAGGGTGAGGCTCCCCATGCCTAGGGCACAGGAACAGGACAGAGGTCTCTACAAGCCAGGCCACGCCACCCCTTCCCCTGGGCCAGCATCTATGATGCACAGAGGTCAACAGCATCCATAACAGAGGGAAAGGTGTGCAGACTGAGGGAACCCAGAGGTCTCACTGACTCTGGGACAAGGAGGCCCAGTCCAGGGTTGAAGCTGGGCTTTGTGTGTCCCTCCACCTAAACCCTAATCCTCAAAATTCCCAACAATGGGAACCCACGTTTCAGAAGCTCCTGCAGTTTGAGAAAGCAGGAACTCAGAGCCAAAGTGGGGATGGAGGGGCTCCATGTGTATCTTCTCATACACTGTAATGTACAAGCTGGTTCTGAAGGTTCTTCTCCACTTTGAAAAGGGCTTCTTTGCAGTCTGGGGTCTCAACTTGTCTCCGAAGCAGGGAGGGATCCCTGACAACTTTCCCACACTCTTTATAATCAGTGTGGCCCTCTCTGCTGTGGGTTCTCTTGTTCATGTCCAGGTATGGTTCCTCCAGAAGCCTTTCGCACCACAGTTAAATCCTGGAGATGTCTTCCTCCAGGCAAAGTTTGCTCCTGACAAGGGGTGGATGATGATGAAAAGCTCTCCGGCATCTGTGCCGCACCCAGGGATGCTCCCAACAGAGGTACGTTTTCAGCATTTTGAAGAGGTGCACCTTGTTTACACAGGTTGAGTTCTTCGAAGACACTGCAGGCTCCACCACCAGGCTCTCTCACATTCATAACTGTCCAGGGGCTGCCCTAACAGACATCAGGTCTCTCATCATTGCTGCAGATAAATCACATTTCACACAATCAATGGGAATGACTCACACCAATGGGAATGTTTACTTGGAGGAACCGTATATGAAGAAAGAGTCTTGAGCAACAAACAGGTGGAGTTCACCCACATTAATGAGTCATGGACTGTGTGAACAGTCATAGTCACAGTGTCCTCGTATCATCAACTTCTCCAATGAGAGGAAATAAAGGATCACCTGCCGTGAATCTTACCATTTGCAAATCATGAGATGAATTTTCCTCCAAAATATCCTGCATAGGAGTAGACTCTTTGGCTTTAGGTTGAAATTCCCAATCTAAAATGAAATGTAACCAAAAAAAAAAAAAAAGACACTTTGTTCAGAAAGAAATGGTGATATGAAATTAACACAGAAAAAAATGTGGTTTTTTTTTAATATTGATCCTAAACTTGGGGAGATACTGAAAGGAAAGCAAAGCGAGTAGAGCTGTGTATGGAATTTGGAAGCGACAGGAACAAGGAGGAAATGAGAGGCTATTTTTCCAAGCAAAAGATTCCATGGAGAATGAGAATGACGTTGCCAGAAAGAATGTTATCAGACAAACAAGTAAGAAGCAATTAGACAACACACATAGAAATGTTTAACTTAAAGAGGAATTGGACAATCAATGTGGGTAGAGATGTAGAGAAATCAAAACCTTCATCCACCGCTGTGGGAACATAGAATGGTGCACCTGTTTTTAGACAACAGTTTGGTAGTTCCTCAAAAAGTTAAACACAGGGTTACCATATGCCTAGCAACTTCATTCCTAAGGATATACTCAAGAAAACTAAAAACATGTCCACATGAAATCTTGTACATGAATGTTCACAACAACATATTCACATTGCCAAAAAATATAATGTCCATCAATAACTGATTGGGTAAACAAAATGTGGTCCATCCATACAATGGAAAGAATGATGCATGCTACAACATGGATGAATCTCAAAAATGTTATACTGAGTGAAAGATGACATAACAAAGGTCACATGTCATATGATTATTTATATGAAATGTCCAGAACAGGAAAATCAATATAAATAGAAAGCAGATCAATGGATGCCAAGGGCTGGAGGGAGGTGAGTGGGGAGTGACTGATAACAGGCATAGGTTTCATTTCGAGATGATGGAAATATTCTGGAGTTCAGTAGTGGTGATAACACAATTTTGTAAATATGCTAAAACAAAACACTGAATTATGCGGTTTAAAAGGTTGCATCTTGTGGTTTGTGAATATCGCAAATTTTCTTAAAAAAAAAAAAAAAAGGGGGGAACATATCTTTTTCTGAAACCAAAGAGCTATAATGTGAAAACAGAAAAAAGCTCACGCAACTTACTTGAGAAACCTCATACCAAATAGCCTATTTCCCCTAAAAATAGAGGGCCTTTAAAATGCTTTAAGACTGATACTTTCCAGGTACCAACCCATAACAGGGTTGGTCACAAGATCTCTGTGTCCCCTGGTACTGACCCACACCCACGACACAGAGAACGCCTCGGTCTGCTGCCCTCAGCTCTTCCCTTGGCCCCACCTGGGAGGCAAGCCTGGGTTTGCATGGTGGTGCCCCTGCTCAAGGAGAAAGACACACATGCTGACGGAGGGCTTGCAGAGGAAAAAAAAATGCTTCCCTACCAGCCTCCCAGCTTCCACATGGACTTCAGTTCAAGACAATGAATGAGTACAAAGGTAGCAAAATGATCACCGAACCCAGGGCCCAAACCACAAACACACTCCTCTCTGGGGCTGAGGTTCTCTAAGCCCTCAAGCCCAAGGTCAAAGTCAATGAGACTAGCACAAGTCCTGACCATGGAAAAAAATTAAGTCAATGCTCTGTTATCCTGTGGAAACTAGTGAACGGTAAACACCACGAAGTCCGTACCACATCTTTGTGGTCACGTGGCAGGCACTTATGCAATTTGATGCCAGCCTTACTCCCAGGAGCCAGTGTCCTACAGTTGTCCAGTATTCCAAATCTGCACAGGTTCCTCCGAGCACCGCCCAGCAACGCCCACTCCCAGATGAGACCCACTGCCACGTCCTGGAAGATGACTGATTCGTAAGACAGCACAGATATTATGGCTCAGCAAGGACCACCCTCACCATTCTGCAGGACAACTGATTATCACTGGGGGAGGGAAACCCAGCGCAAGAACATTCAGATAGGGAGCTGTCTCCATTCCAGTGTTCAGCAAAGCCCACCTGCCATTTGTTTTTGTAAATAAAGTTTTATTGGCACACAGCCATGCCATTCATTTACCTATCTCCATGGCTATTTTTTGCTACAAAGACAGAATTGAGCAGTTGCTGCAACAGAGATCACATGGCCCACCAAGCTAAAAATATTTACTTTAACATTTTGACAAATCCAAAAGTATAGGTTTTGGCTCTTTGTCATTCACTGACCAGTGATAGCAGAGCCTGTACTTCTGAGCTTAAAGAGTTTTTCCTAAACTCCTTATTTAAGGTATCAGAAGTTTGGGTTTGATTGCTTCAGTCCCTAGGTCCCCTCCCAAGACTTATATACGCATTTAGTAATCTTTTATGCCCGTTAAAATAGGACTTCCGTTGCAACTGAAAAGTTTTATAGCCTGTAAGTTCAGAATTCTCTAGGGCAGCACTGTCTAGGAGAGCTCTCTGGGATGATGGGAATGCTCAATGTCTGCACTTGCCAAAAGGGCAGCCACCAGCCCAAGTGGCTACCGAGTGCTTGAGAAATGTGGCTCAGGCAACTAAGAAAGGGACTTTTTAAATTTTATTGGATTTTCATTCATTTAAACTTAAATTACTACAGCCATGTGTTTATGGTAGGTCTCACAAGGGAGAGCAGGGATGGCCCTAGAGCAGTGATTCTCAACCTTGGCTGCACATTAGAATCACCTGGGAATCTTTTTAAAATCAGGATTTTTAGACAGCAGTTTGGTAGTTCCTCAGAAAGTTAAACATAGGGTTACCATATGCCCAGCAACTTCATTCCAAAGGATATACTCAAGGATTTTAAAAAGATTCCCAGGTGATTCTAATGTGCAGCCAAAGTTGAGAATCACTGCCCTAGAGGAGCTCAGCGGCCAGCTCTAAATGAGCCCCACTCTGCACTCAGACTCCAGAATTAGGCAGAGCCACTCCTCCAAAGCCACTTCCCACCAGAGGTCATGCACTGAAGGAGGTCACCAGGTCCCCTGGAGCAGGGCAGAAGACGCTCCACACTTCCCCTCCCTTTTCTTCCTTAGCTGATGGTGAGGAAAGAGGGGACAGAGCTCAAGACCCCTAATTATCTACTCCCACCAACCCGAATCCCCAACCCCTCACCGTGACACCAGCCCCAGGGTTTAAGGTCTCAGTAGGCATCCTCCCTGCAATTCAAGGAGACCGAGTATAAGAAGAGGTGAGGCTGGAAGTAGAACACCAAACAGGGGTTTGACTCAGGTAATCCCATTTTTGTGGGCCACCATCGGGGTGACCAAGTGAAAAACCCAATAAGCAACATATTGAGCCCCATGCCACCTTTCAGACCATGGCAGATGACCATTTCTACTATTGCCTCTCCCCTAATAAAAGGGACAGGAAGAGATTAACCAAAGATCTTACCTATGGACACAGACTGTATGGTGGTGAAGGCCTGGGGTGGGGTGGAAACCAGGTGGAGGGGAGCTATGGGGAAAGATAGGGAGACATCTGTAATATTCTCAACAATAAAGTTTTTTTCAAATGCTTGTTCACATAATACAATCCACAAGAGACTTCAGATGTCTTTAAGTAATGTTGATTCTTTCTAAAAAGGCAAGGTGAAACATGTATTCTTTCTGAAAACAAACATCTCACTCATAAAATTGAAATCTGATGTTTAGTTTTCCTCCAGAATTATTTTTTTCCTCATTTCTGAGTAGAGTGAACCTTAACCCTATTATTTAAAATAAAAATTTAAAAGAAGACATCCCATTTATGGCCAACTCAATTTCAATTCCCATTACTAACAAAACTATGTCATCTTTTTCCTGGAGTCCCATGTTTTGAAGCTTGTGGTAGCTACAGGCTTCGGGTAACTGTGCCAAAGTGAAGAGAACCGAATTGTTTACTTTTCCTTGATAAGATTTGTGACATAACTGAGAAATAGCTTTTCTGAAGACACCCTCACCTCGCAGTGAAAAAAAAAAACACACTGATATTCACAAAGTCACAAATTAAAAGCCCAGTTGACATGGCTAGTGGTTGAGCATGGACTCATGAACTAGGAGGTCAGGGTTCATTCCCGGTCAGGGCACGTGCCCGGGTTGCGGGCCCCATCCCCAGTGTGGGGCGTGCAGGAGGCAGCCGATCCACGATGCTCTCTCATCATTGATGTTTCTATCTCTCTCTCCCTCTCTCCCTTCCTCTCTGAAATCAATAAAAATACATTTTAAAAATAAAAGAAAGAAAAGAAGGAAGATATATGAAAGGAAAAGGCAACAAAAGCTACGTTAACAGGTCCTAAATTTAGGAACTGCAAATCGTCAGTCACAAAAAAAAAAATCGTCATCTAGCTCATCCCTTGATAGAAGATGCATTCCATTTTTAAAAATTTACTTGACAAGTCATTCAACCCAATTTGTACATGTAGACTTAGACCGAACTTTCCCATTGCCGAGCGGGATAGTAATATGAAATGTCACATTAAATGAAATGGGAATTGCTTATGCACAGTTATCTTGCATAAGGGCGACAGGGTAGGGCCCTATAAACCCGGGGAGCCCGGTGAACTGGGGCTGGCCGGTGTCACCATTCCTGAGCTGCAGGACCTGCACTGTACTTCGCGATTTCCCTTTTGGGAGATGGATGAGTCCCGTCTGCCGGAAGGGGGTTACCTGGGGACGAGGTACCCGGCCGGAGAAGTTGGGGACGCGGCTGCAAGTCCGAACTGTACTCAATCCATCCCGACCCCGAGGCAACCACGGGAGGAAGCACCTCAGCCAAGGCAGCTGTCCCAGGCCGCCCGGCCCCTCGGGGCCCTCCCCGCCCTTCCGAGCCGCCGGACAGCACCAGCAAAAAGGAAGACACACGCCCCACCGCAGCACGCCGCGGCGTCCCTGCAGAGCAGCTAGACGCCGCCACCGCCGCCGCCGCCGTTGCCCCAGCGCACTTCCGCTTCCGGTCTTGGGGCCCCGGGAACGGAAGTAGCCGGGGCTTTGGTTCTCAGGTCCAGAGAAGGTTCAGATAGTGCTGGGAGGTTGACTTAAATGTCCAATCTCGGAGGAGAGGAGAAATTCTAGTTTAATTGCCTGAGGGGGTGAGGTTAGGCTATGGGGTTGGGTCAGAAGGACCGGCGAGTGGAGTTGGGGGAATGGACAGGGCTGGGGACGGGTTTACGTCCAATGGGCGGGGGTTGGGGCGGGACCTGGGCTTGGTGGGCGGGGCCTCGCTGGCGGGGTGAATGCTCAATGTTTAACTTTTCCTGTCCCCTTCTCTGGCCTCTACCTTACTCCTTTGGCTTAATCCAACCCCCTACAAAAAATATATCCTAGGTAAAATTTACTTTTCAGTCTTAAAAATTTTTCTTAAAAATAGCATCAAATATAGTCATGAGCTGCATAAAGATATTTCAGCCAACTAATAACTTCATATACCATGGTGGTTCCTTAAGATTTTAATGGAGCTGAAAAATTCCTATCCCTTGTGACTTACAAGCTGGCTTCATGTTTTATCACAATGCAATCCTCAAATACTATTTTATGTTACAACTAGAGGGCTGATGCACGAAAATTTGTGCAAGAGTAGGCCTTCTTCCCCCTCTCCCCCCCCATTCCCCCTCTGACAGCACCGGCTTCCCTCCGGCACCCAGGACCCAGGCACCCAGGACCCAGGCTGCTTACCTCCAACCACCGGCAGGTACCCGAGACCCAGGCCCCATTTTCATCCAGAAGGACATCCAGAATGATGCCTGGAAGGACAACCGGTCTAATTAGCATATTACCCTTTTATTATTATAGATTGCCTCCAATATTCAGTACAGTAATATGCTGTGCAGGTTTGTAGCTTAGGGGAACAGAATTTGTAATACAAAAATAATGTCTTTGAAAACCAAGTAGAAGTTACTCATTGTAAGAGACATTTACACTAGAAAGGGAAACTTCTGTTTGTAAGGGTGTCTCCCTCCTTATCTCAAGAGACTCTTATCAATGCAGAAGACAAAGATATAAAGTCTACATAACAACCTTACTTTTCTGTTTATTACGCTTTTCCTGGTAACCTCCCACAACTGACTCCTTCCACCCCCAATATCTTATTTTGTCTTTAGCTAACGGTGGTATTTAAGGTGGTGGCTTCAGCCATTTTGGTGAGTTATTCCGTTTTACAGTCTCTCCCATGTATATAGGAGGTATACATGTTATTAAACTTTTGTTTCTTTTTCTCCTGTTAATTTTCTAATACAGAGATGTCTTGTCAAGAACCCAGCAGGGTAGAGAGGAAATTATGTTTTTCTCCTCTACAGAGCAATAGGCTACATCATATAGCCTACGTGTGTAGTAGGCTGTACCATGTAGGGCAGTGATGGCAAACCTTTTGAGCTCGGCGTGTCAGCATTTTGAAAAACCCTAACTTAACTCTGGTGCCGTGTCACATGTAGAAATTTTTTGATATTTGCAACCATAGTAAAACAAAGACTTATATTTTTGATATTTATTTTATATATTTAAATGCCATTGAACAAAGAAAAATCAACCAAAAAAATGAGTTCGCGTGTCACCTGTGACACGCGTGTCATAGGTTCGCCATCACTGATGTAGGTTGTTAAAGTGAACTCTATGATGTCACTTATGATGTATTTCTCAGAATGCATTCCCATCATTTAGAGGCCCATAACTGTATCTTATTTCTTCTACAACTTGCCTTTCTCTCTAAAATAAGATATGAAAATCTGTTCAAGACAATAGATAGGAAATCTGTCTCTTCTTTCTTAAAATTATGTATTTGTTAAGGAGGAAGAATTATAAGAAGTGCAAATTGGTAATTACAAAATAGTCATGGGGATGTGAAGTATGGCAATATTGTCAATAATATTGTAATAACTATATATGTTGTCATATGGGTACATTTTTGGGGGTGATCACTTCATAAATTATATAAATGTCTAATCACTATGTTGTACATCTGAAACTAATATAATGTATGTCAACTAATTGAAAAAAATTATTTTTTTAAAAATATGTATTTTAAAAAATGTTATTCTCCAGAACATTTGAGATCTTGCTCCCTGGCATATTTTGTTAGTTTGGCTCAAATAAACTCTTATTAAATTTCAGAAAAAATGAATAAATAAATATGCATTTGTTATGTAGTTTAGATAATGATACAGTAGGCAGCTAGGAAAATTCCAGGAGAAGTGGAATAGGGACACTAAGACAGATAGTTAAACAGCAGTTTTCAGCCACCTAGTAAATTCTATCTTCCCTAAACCAAGGACACTTAAGAGTAAATGGTTTGCACTTCTCCCCAACCAGAGGGTTGATAGATTAAATCACCCTATTCAGGGAGACAAATAATAGAAATCCAATTAAGTGCCATTTGCCAACCACACCCAAGTACAGACAAATTAAGAAAATAAAGCTCATTTTTGGTATATCAGCATAAAACTGATGACTATTCTATTGATCCACCCCTAAGAACTTGCATAAACACCCAGCCTTTGAAACCCCTGAAAATGAAAGTCCCAGTGCCCATGCCATTCCCTTCCCCCTGCTCCTCTCCTTCCCCCACAGGTACATGTCCCCTAACCTCTAAGGGACCTCATGAGACTTGCAACTGAGGAAGCAATGGGCAGCGGCATCTCATCCCAGGCTAACCTCCTGAACTTGTCTTCAAGGCCCCTTTTCTTTGATTTCCCAATGAGCCAAAGTAGCCCAGCCTCAGTTCTCCTGTTGCTCTTGTATGACCTTCCTTATTTCACGGTCCTAGAATGTTTTTGCTGCAGTCAATAAATTCCTCCTTGCTTTTCTACACTTTGTCTCTTGATTGAAATATTTCCCTCAAGAACACAAGAACCAAAGTCCATTTGACCCAGCAATCCCACTTCTGGGAATATATCCTAAGAAATTCAAAACACTAATTCAAAAGAATATATGCACTCTTATGTTCATTGCAGCATTATTTACAATAGCCAAGATCTAGAAACACCCCAAGTGCCCATCAGTAGACGAGTGGATAAAAAAGCAGTGGTACATTTACACAATGGAGTACTACTTGGCCATAAAAAAGATGGAAATCTTACTTTTTGCCACAGCATGGATGGGTCTGGAGAACATTAAGTTAAGTAAAGTAAGTAAGCCAGAAAAAGACAAATACCATAATCTCACTTATATGTGGAATCTAATAAATAAATTAGTGAAAAAAATAGAAACAGAAGCATGGAACAGACTGACAGCTGTTAGAGGGCAGAGTTGGGGGGAGGGGTACTGGATGAAAGAATGTGAAGGGATTAAGCAAAAAAACATATATACGTAACACAGAGACACAAACAACAATATGGTGATAGGGAGGGTGAGAGGTAGTTGGAGGTGGGCAAAGGGAGAAAATGGGTATAGAGAGCAGCTTTGCTTGGGGCAATGGGTGCAAGAGACACTGTGCAGATGATGT